CAGACAGGCAAAAGAAATATAGCAAAACCTGGAAACACAGAAAGAGAGACCCAAGAACTGAGCAGACAGAGAAGAGGGATGGCAGAAAAATAGGCTGGCAGGGAGAGAATGGAGAATGACTGACAGAGAAGACAGGCAAAATCACCAAAAGGGATGCAGACAGGCAGAGAGAGAGCGAAAGAGAGAAGAAGGAAAGACAGATAAAGGAAGAAAAAAATGAGGTAAGAAGGAAGACAAAGTGATAATAGTGGTTTATACAACACGGTGCTTTATAATTTATAAAGTGCTATCACATACATTATTGCAGGCAGACAGGGAGAATCCAGCAGACAGATGGGGTGATGGAAGGATACAGGCCAATCAGACAGAAGAAAGGGGAGAGGGCCAATCAGAAAGAGAGGCTAGAATAGAGACCAAGACAGATAAGAAAAAAACAAGAAAAGAGAAGTAAGAGAGAAAGAGGCAAAGAGTGGAGAGACATAAAGATAGAGGATGAAACAGTTAAACTCAGGAAAACAGGCAATAAAAAAGCAGAAAAGAAAGAACAGTGTATCGTGTGTAGAAGTTTTATGATCATCTTTCTCAAAGAGACCTGGTTAGAGGCTGTGTCTTTGTCTCCCTCAAAGAGTTATAAAATGTCTCTAAGATGGCACATGAGTAGAGCCAGAAGGTGGGATGAAAAAGGAAAAAAGTTTTAATCAGGAGCAAAGCTTTTCAGACTAGGAGGAAGACAAACTTCTTAGGCCTAGCTCAACAACATAAAAGGATCTAGATTCAGCTGCCCTTAAATAATTCATATAGACTAAGTGAGAAAAGCAGGGAAGTCCTCTATAGACTGTGTGCAGGTAAGCTCAGTTTACTGTTACTTATTAACTGTACCTATATTTATATGGTACTTTTTAGTATAACCAGTGCTTTCATGCCTTCTCCAATACATATTTCAGTGACGAAGAGACCAACAAAGATGTCTTGCTGTCATCAAGACAACTTACCACACAGAGTAGACTATATTTGGAGAGAGAAAAGCCTTCCTGAGCACTCCTCAGGTACTGGTAGTAAAAGCATGCAACCAGCAACTAATCAATCAAAAAGACAAGTGCCTTGGGTAGCACTTGGCAGAATCAAAATGACAAAAAAGGCAAGCCCAGCCAAGTTAGTTAGGAGTACTGACAGACTGACAGAGGAAGGAGCATCCAGAAAAACTGGAAGAAAAGTAGGAAGAAGTACAGCAAAACACAAGCAAAAGCAAGCAAGCAAAGAGACTTGTCTATGTGTAGACTCTTCTCTGGAGCAGGATCAGGAAATGTGAAACAGTGGCTGCTTCTGGGGAGAGGAACTTGAGGACGAGGGGAGAAGAATGGGAGAGAGGCTTACTTTTCACAGTCCACTTTCTATACTTTTAAATGTTGTGCCGTAAGTAGGTACTTACCTGTTTAAAAGTTAACTGGGAAAAAGAAACAAAAGAAAAGAAAAAAGCAAGAAGAGACGTGGACAGCAAGAGCCTGCTGAGCAGACAGACAGCAGCGAGAGACGGGGAAAATGGCGAAAAGACTGAGGCAGGCAGACAGTCTGAGGAACCAGAAACACAGAAAAAGAGATCACTGAAATAAAGGCAAACATGAGAGAAGGCAGGGCAGGGGATGTGGCAAGAAGGCAGATAAGACTTTGAGGCAAAGGGGTTCCTGAGAAGTTTAGGGGAGAGAGACTATCTCCATTGATGGGATGTTGGCAGAGAAGAAGCAAAGGAAGAAAAAGTGGGTAAGTACGAAGACTAAAAAGAGAAAAGCATTAGATGGTGGGATAGCAGCTTACAGGGTAGACAGGCAAGACAGACCCCAAGGGAGGGAAGGGAAAATGATTAACAGGCATAAATAAGAGAAGGAACAAGCAGAAGGGCAGGATAAGAGGCAAACCAAGATGGGGAGCCGTGGCAGGGCCTGGAAGGTAGACAAACCAAGAGATGCAGGCTAAAAAAGTGATAGAGACAGGCAGGCGGGGAGACAGATGGCTAGAGAGAGAGTGGTGGGCAAACAGCCAGAGAAGCAGACAGACAACCAGAGAGGAAAAAGAGGCTGCCAGCCAGTCAGGGAGGAGCAGACAGGCAGGCAGGCAGACACCATAACAGGAGCAAGCAGGTAAAGAGGGAGGCAAAAACAAGGAGAGAAGAAGGAAAATCAAGAGGTCGAGAGAGAGAGAGAGAGAGAGAGAGACAGAGAGACAGAGAAATGAACAGGAGAGAGATGCAGACAGGCAGAAAGCGTGATGGACAAGGAGAGGGAGAATAAGGCAAATCAGCAAATCCACATGCAAAGCACACTCAAGAGAGAGAATGACGAATGTTTGTATAGGGATACACACGGCCACCTTTAGCCACCCGCACCTGCAGATCATGGAACATGTGGCAGGCAGAGGCTCTCAGTACAGGGAGAGGGCACAGAGGCAGAGAGGCTGCAGCGCACATGATGTGCGCAGCGTGGCCCACATACACGTGGAGACACTCTTCCCAGACACAGTACGATCCACAGACACACACAGAAGGGGCCAGAAAGAGGGGGAGTCGGGCACACAGGAGGAAGAGCCGCACGCAGTCCGAGACTGGAAGACAGAAGTAAGCAGCAAGAAGGCAGAGACGGAAAGGCACTTAGAGGTGACAGAGCCTGAGGGTCCAAGGGATGAGAATGACAGTCTCAGTTAAAAACAAAGATATCAATAGAGAGAAGCCCACACACAGAAGAGGGGGATACCCAGATGAACGAGTAAAGAGACTGAGAAAGAAGACAGGAGAGCAAGATGGACTGGAAGACTGGAAGAGGAGGAGGAGTCAGACTTAGTACAGAATGATGTGGGAACAGAAGCAAGAGAATTCCAAAGGCCAGGTTAAAAAAAAAAAAAAAAAAAGAAAGGATGGAAACCAACACCCAGTGCAGTGCATTAGTGTGGGGAGTGGAACACTAATAAGGAACATTTTAGCTTCATAAACAAAAATGTGCATCAGATTCCCAGTAATACTTTCTGGTTGCTGCCCACCTACCCCTCCCTCTCGGTGCTCCTGAGCACTGCCGAAGATGGGTGGCCAGCAGTTACACTGGAGAGGTAGAGGAATAACCCAGAAACGATTCCACAGGCATGCAATAGGAATAGGAAGCAAGGGAAGGGGCAAAGGGAGATCAAAGGAATGGGAGGAAGCTAGAGTAGGAAAGGGTCGACAGGAATGAAAGAGGGTAGCACTGAGCTATTTGCCCTCCTTCCTTTGCTCCATTTGGCAAGGATCATTTTCTGTCTGGACCTCTCTGAGCAAATCTCTGTATGAGAAAGCTACTTCTGGACTCCTTTCCAACTGTCCAATTCCTAGTACTACTTTACCATAAACACTGGGGTACAGTTGGAAATCACAGGTCAGAAAGTTAGATGAAAACGCCTGAGTGGAAGCCCTACCTCTGCTTTTTCTCAGTCCCAGTTCCTTTCTTTTTCACGGTACCTCCGTTGCTCCTACTTTATCGGACAGTGTTGGAGATCATGGAGGAAGGCAAATATACTGAAATGGAAGAAAAGAGCACATAGTTTCACCATCTTCAGATTTGACTCTTTGCTCTTTATCCTAAAAATCTGTCCTATTTACCCCCAAATTAATCTCTCAAGTCAGTTGAATTTTACATTCTAGCAATTGGAGGAGGGGAAAGCAAGGGAAAGGGGGAAAAGAGTAAAGATAAAATTTACAACAATTATAAACCACTGAAAAGGCTGCGTAAAGGGGAGAATCAAACATGGACTCCTTTGAAAAAAACTCAATCATCGTATCTATTCATATCTCTCCCCCAAAAGTCACTAGGATTTCTATCACTTTTTTTTAAAGAAAGGAGAAAAAAATCCAGTCCCGCTTCTCATTTAAAAGATCTGTACACAATGAAATGCGTTGTGACTTCAATGAGGTATGTAGAAACAGAGTTATATATAAACATATATTTCATCTTTTTCCTTTTCAATGCCTGAAGGGGAAAAAAAACCTTCACATCAAACCACTCCCTTCTGAAGTATTCAAAAAAAAAAAAAAAAAAAAAGCTTTTCTTTAGAGAAGGGAGGTGGGGAGGAAGAGACTAGTAAAGAAAAGAAAAAAAATTAAATCTAGTTGGACTAGTATCTAACTAGTTAACCTTTAACAATTTATGCTGATGTCAGACTGAGCATGAGTACTGATTAATGCCCCCCCTCAAATATTTTTTATAAGGGGGGAGTTAGTCACAGCAGCCATTTTTGTTTTATGCAGAAATCCTTCATGCCCCCCCAACACACACAGACACACAGACACACACACACACACACACACTTCAGTACACAAGGAAAATATCTCTATTAATCTGTGCACTAATCAGTTATGAAAAAGGAGAAATTTGTGGGTTTCTGGGTAGAGGCTTGGAGATGGGGGTGTAACAGGGAGGAGAATGGGGGGGTGAAAAATGAAATATTAAGCCAGCCATTTTGTTTGAAAAGGGGATTTTCCCCCCTCTCCTTTTCTTTATGGAGGGGGTGGCGGTGCTGGAGGGGGGGTTGTTTTAAAAATAATTTCAAGGCGGCCATCTTAGTGCCTCAGCTCTGAGAAATATTTCTGAGCGCCCCCCTCAGAATTTAAATATATTTAAAGCAACGGAGAGGGGGGCAGAGAGAAGTCGAAAACTTTTATATATATACACACATATATATGTATATATATATATATATATTTTAAATCCCCCTTTCTTGTTCTCTTGGGAGGAAAGAGAGAAGGAAAAAAAGTCTTTCCTCAATTTTTTTCCAAGACAATTTTTGGGGGTGGTTTGGCCCCCCTCCTCAGACGGCGGCCCCGAGGGTGGGGGTTTCGGAGGGGGGTGGCCCGGGGGTTTGGGGGGCTGGGGGAGGCGGTGAGGAGGAGGAGGACGCCGCCGCCGAGGAGGAGGAGGAGGAGGAGGAGGAGGAGGTGGTGGTGGTAGCGGTGGGGGAGGCGGGCGGGCGGTGGGTGGGGGGGTGGTGGGGGGGCCAGAGCCACAGGATGGCTTCCCCTCTGAGGGACGAGGAGGAGGAGGAGGAGGAGATGGTGGTGTCGGAGGAGGAAGAAGAGGAGGAAGAAGAGGGCGACGAGGAGGAGGAGGAGGTGGAGGCGGCCGACGAGGACGATGAGGAGGACGATGACGAGGGAGTACTCGGGCGCGGGCCGGGCCACGACCGGGGCCGCGACCGCCACAGCCCCCCCGGCTGCCACCTCTTCCCGCCGCCGCCGCCGCCGCCGCCGCCACCGCTGCCCCCGCCGCCGCCGCCCCCGCCGCCAGGTAAGCGGCCGCCCGACTACCCCCCAAGCCCAAGTGGGAGCCGCGGGCGCGCGAAGCCGGGCGGGGGCGAGACACCCACCGCGCGGCCGAGCCGAGGCGAATCCGGGGCGGGAATCCGGGGCTCGGGCCCGTGGCCCTGCGGCGGTCCGGGCGGTCGGTGGCGGCCGCGACCGCGGGGCCAGGCCTCCTCCCCTCCCCGGCTGCACCCCTCCCCCGCCGCCGCCACCACCGCCGCCGCCACCGCCGCCGCCGCCGCCACCCCGGCTGGAGAGCGCTGGGCGCGAGCTGCGCGCGCGGACCGGGCCACTCGGTCGCGGCTTTCGGGGGAGGAGGAGGAGGAGGGTTTTTTTTTTACCCTCGGCGGGGAGGGGGTAGGCAGGAAACGGCCGAGGCGAAACCAGGGCCCCCTCCCTGGCCGAGCGAGGGACCGCGGAGACCCTGGCGGCCGGACGGCGGCGTGGGGGAGGGGCGCGTGGGGGAGGGGCGGCCGCGCGAGCGCCCCTCGGGCTCCGGCCCCGGTGGGGTTGGACCGAAGGAGAGCGGGGTTTCCCCGCACCGGAGCAGCCGGCGGGCCTGCCCCCTCCGCTCAGGACTTGGGCAGGCAGAGGGGGAACGGTGTCCATCGGACCCCCCCTCCACCCGTGGGGACTTAGGTGCCCGCCAACTGAGAGGCGTTAGGTGGCACGAGAGGGAGGGGTCGTGTGAATGTTTGTGGGCTGCTGATAAGTAGGGGCAGGTGGTGGCCACAGTCCACGCAGTCCACTTCCTGGAATGAGACTGGAGCTCGTCCCCTCGCTACCCCAGCCTGTGCAGGGGACAGCAGTCCCTTAGAATTGGGGAGCGGAGAGGAGAGTGGGGAACCAGATGCCCCCAGCTCCACCCCCTTCATCTCTCCGGGGCTCTGGGCTCTTTTGTGTCAAGTGCGGTGGGCGGGGGGGGGGGGCCCTCCTGACCCTATCAGTCTGGGGTGGCCAAGCTGCCCAGCTGTGACTCTTGTGCGGCTGCCATTCACTGTCACGCTCTCTCGCTGAAACCACCCACTCCCTGAGCACGTTGGGGGGCGTGAACTGCCCACCCAGCTGTTCTGCAGCTTGACCATCCCTCAGCACCCGTCCCCCGGGGTGACAAGTCACCCGGCGGAATTCTCTGGGCGGCGCTCTCCAGACCGCTGCGCCGCCGCCCAGCGGTGTCCCCCTCAGACCACCCTCCTAGTGGAGTGATTTCTAGTCTTCTTTGGGATAGGTGAGCATCGGGGTGTCCACACCCCTGCTTGGAGAACAGCAGGGGACATCCGCACCCCCAGGCCTCCGGCTGCCATGCGGCACAAATGCAGCAAACTTCAAAACGGCCAACATCGGGCTCTTTGTAAAACTGTCATATTGATCCGTGTGGCTTCTGTGGCAAACGTTCCCGTCTAGCTGAGACGACCTTTGAGGGAGAGGGGGGTGCTTTCTTGTGGGTCGGGAAGGGATGTGTCTCCTGGAAACAGGATAAAGTCTCCCCGCCCCCCAAGCTTGTCTGAAAAAGAGAAAAGTTTTGAAAAAGTTCTCCCCGAGAGCCCCCCGCCTTGGCAGGAGGAGAAGGAAAGGGGAGTTGTGGGGAGAGGGTGCCTTTGGGGTTGCCTCCGGCAGAGGCGCTGAAAAGAGGGAAAGAAAGGCCGCCAGGTCCTGCCAGGGGCTTGGCAGCGCTCACCTATTTGTATTGGGACTCGGAATCTGGGGTGGGGTGTGGTGGGTCCCGGATCTGGGTACGTAGAGGGAGAGAAGCGTGAAAGGATCGGAGGTTGAGATGGGTCTTTGTGTCAACCGGGCCTCCCCTTTCCCCCTTGGCTTTCTGAATAGACCAGAAGAAACGTCAAAGGCTGCTTACATTTTACATCAGAAATGAAAACCCACCTCCCCTTTCCCCCTGGGCAATTTTTATCTCCCTTTCAGCCCTCCAAGTCAAATGAGTGACCCAGATACACCCCCTCAGATGACTTTCGGAGGTAAAACTTCGGGAAAATATTTTTAGCCCACTCATTATTTCTGTCTGCCTAAGTGTGGGGAAAATAACCCTTCTCTAAGGAAATTTGTTCGGGCTGCCCTCGCTCTTGTCTAGAATATACATTTGTGCACAGGAGAGGTTTCCATTGTTTTCCATTCCGACTGCTTTGATTCTCACCATTTTGTTTTACATTCTTACCCAAGACCAATTTTATCCCTTCCCCCTCTCTTCAGTCTCCTTACATTGTTAAGCGTTTAAAATAATAGCACTCGTGTTGGTGGGGGAAGGGAGCAGGAAGCCAAAAACTCATTTCTTCTCCCTCCCCCTTCTGGCAAGTCGAGAGAAATAATATAACATAATATATAGATGTGATTCCTTGGGGGTGGGGGTGGGGAATGATTGTGGGTGGTGCGGAAAATTCTGGTAGTTTCTTTGCAAAAGGTCTGAAAATACAAACCCACCCCCTGCCTGCAGTACGCATGTGCAGCAGACCTATTATGGTGGTTCGTTGTGGGGGAGGGAGGGGAATTTGAGAAAAAATAAATATATGTGTGAGAGATTGATGGTGAGATTAGAAGAAGAGAGGGGCGGGCGGGAGGCGAGGCTTCGGCCGAGACTCCTCCCGCTTTCTCGGGCGGCCAGGCTCCGCCCTGAGCCCTCCGCCCCGCCCCCCCTCCGCCCGCCCCTCCGAGATCCGAGCCGGGGATGTGGGAGAGTCTGGGCTCCAGGCCAGCGCTGAGTGCCTGTTGAGACCGAGGTTGGGACTTAGATTTGCTTTATTACCCTTCCTTGCCTTTCCTCGCCATTCTCGCTTTGCCTCTCCCGCCATCGACGGCTGCCCAAGTTCGGGAATCTCCTGCTGGGGTGGAGAGTGCAGTGAACCGGCTTGTGCAGCAACCTTGGCTCGTGGTGGCGGAGGCCGGGTCCCTGATTCTTAGCCAGTTGGCCTGCCCTTGCCACTGCCCCGGCAGCCTCCGTTTCCATGTTCAAGTCAACCGAAGTCCCAGGGGTCAGGGGAAGCCGGCTGCTGGGGCATGGCGCCTTCCTTACTGACTTCCTATTACAGTCCCCATTCCGTTTCGCGCCCGGGCTCTCGGCAGCCACCCTCCATGCACACACGCACGCAGTCCTAGAGTGTCTTCCTGCACAAGGGGACGCAGGATGCTGGAGTTAGCAGGAAAGGTAGCACTGAAGGAAGGAGACGCTGCGACTCTGAGCCACTGGAAACCGAGGCCTCTGGTGTTAATTGTGGCTAATTTTCCGTTGGCTGTTGAGGGAGGGAGAAAGGATTGTGTGTCCTAGAGCTAGGGGCTGGGCCAAGCCTAGGCTTTCCCTTCCTGCAGCGGCTGCCTCTGCCTGTGTAGACAGGTCTGGCTGGTTAGTCTAGTGCTTGGTAGAGGCGGGAGGTGAACCAGAGCCTCAGGGCCTCAAGTCTGTGGGGCATCCGTATCTTCCTTCCTGTGGAGTAAGGCTCCGTTCCCCAAGCCTTCACAGAGTGACACCTTTACAGATAATGGGGTGGGGGGATATCAGGGAAGAGCCTGCCTGGAGCCCTCTGACAGAGACATCTGGGAAGAAAGCCAGGGACCTAGCCCTGCTAAAGCAGGTACAGGCCAGAGAGAGAGAGAGAGAGAGAGAGAGAGAGAGAGAGAGCGAGCGAGTGCGCGCGAGCTTTTGAGAAGGCATATGCTGGGTGTGTCTGTCTGTGCCTATATCTTTGTTTGGGTCTCCAATACTGCGTGTAGATGAGTGGGTCAGGATATCTGAAACAAAATACTGAGGTGAAGGGTGAGATCGGGAAACAAAGGGTATAGCCCCCAAGTTCTCAAAGGGAGCAGGAAGGTGGGAATAGAAATGAAGATAGATTTCAGGCTACTTGGGAGAAGGAATGTTTAGGTAATTGTGGAGACTTTCTCCACAATGAGGGTGTGATGATGGAGGCAGACATTGTGATCCTGTGGGCAAGAAGTAAAAATTACCAGCTGAAGGTTTCTTTTCCTCCAGGACCATGTAGGGGTGACAGGATGCCTGGTCATTATCCAAGGAAATGTAAATAGAGGCCTCCCTCTTGGCAAAAGATGTCAGGGCCCCAGGGTGTTAGTGTGAGAACCCAGGTGTCCACCTTTGGCTCTCCCTCCCTAGCATCTGGCTCAGGGAGCTGCCAGCTTGTGTCTCCCCACTCCAAGTGCTGGGGTCAGGCCAGGCCAGCAGCTGGGCATGGCTTCCCCAGTTCCTGGGCAGGATGCCAGCTGGCGAAGTGAGGGGGAAGGCAGGAGGAGCCCTGGCGGTGACTGAAAGGACCTGCCACAGTCACAGCCCATGGCCTGGAGCCTGGTCCCTTATTAGTAGGAAGGGAGGGAGGGGAGTGGTTTGGCGGCTCTTCTCTTCTGAACCCTGACCTCCCATTCAGAACCAGAGCATCCCAGAGTACTCGAAACACTTTCTGTTTGCATCCAGTGAAGGGAGGCAGGGCTTGGAGGAGTTAATGCTGAGTTCCTAGAGAGTGGGAACTGTGGAGATGGGGAAGGGGCAAGCAGAGGGGCCTCAGAGACTGGAAACCTAGAGGCTTAGGTTTTCTGGTGCTTTTTGCTTCAAAGATAAAGATGACATTCGGCTGCTGCCTTCGGCATTGGGTGTGAAGAAGAGAAAACGAGGACCCAAGAAGCAGAAGGAGAACAAGCCAGGGAAACCCCGAAAACGCAAGAAGCGTGTAAGTGTCAAGAATTCCTAACTCTGTGGCAAGGCTCAAGAGGCCCATTCTTGGCTGGGCGCAGTGGCTCACGCCTGTAATCCCAGCACTTTAGGAAGCCAAGGAGGGGGTGGATCACCTGAGGTCAGGAGTTCAAGACCAGCCTGGCCAACATAGTGAAACTCCGTCTTTACTAAGAATAGAAAGTTAGCCAGGGGTGGTGGCACGTGCCTGTAGTCCCAGATACTCGGGAGGCTGAGGCAGGAGAATTGCTTGAACCTGGGAAGCAGAGGTTGCAGTGAGCCAAGATCATGCCACTGTAGTCCAGCCTGGGTAACAGAGTGAGACTCTGTCTCAAAAAAAAAAAAAAAAAAAAAGACCTATTCTTCTCAGAGACCTACATTGTCTCTTGTCCTGATTGCTGGTGCTGGGGTGGGGTCCTGAAGCCAGGGAGGCTTGGCCCCCCCACCCCCCAATTCCCCGCCACTGCGGGCCTGTATCTCAGGGATCTGGGACCCTAACTTCATTCGCCAAGACCTAGTGAAGAGCCCCGTTGTCAATTTGACTTGCCTCAGCAGCAAAGAGAAGCAGTTGAAAGCACAAGCTCCGGAAGACTGTATGAATTCAAGAGCCCACCATTCCTCTGTCTAGGATGCCAGTCCATTGATTTGGCGCTCTGTGCCTCAGTTTCCTCATCTGTAAAAAGTAGATATAAATTGCTGCCACGTAGGATTGTTGCGAAGATGAAAAGAGATAAGATGTACTATGTGCTGAGAACAGTTTCTGGCACGTAGTAGGAATGAATAAATGTTATTTTAATTTCTTTTTCTTAGGACAGTGAGGAGGAATTCGGTTCTGAGCGAGATGAGTACCGGGAGAAGTCAGAGAGTGGGGGCAGTGAATATGGAACCGGACCGGGTCGGAAACGAAGAAGGAAGCACCGAGAAAAAAAGGAGAAGAAGACAAAGCGGCGGAAAAAGGGGGAGGGAGATGGGGGGCAAAAGGTGAGTGGGAATCAGGGAATGAGAGTGAGAAATCCGCATTGAAGAAGCGCATGAAGTGGGGAGGAATGGAGACTGGCCTGGAAAATGCAGCAAGAAGCCAGAAAGCCCAGGGAAGCTGGTGGGTAGGTAGACAGGCGTGTGCGCAGCCCAGAATAGGGGCTGGAGGAGCACCTACTTCACCAAAACTCTTTTCCCGCAGCAGGTGGAGCAGAAGTCGTCAGCAACTCTGCTCCTGACATGGGGCCTGGAGGACGTGGAACATGTGTTCTCTGAGGAGGATTACCACACACTCACCAACTACAAAGCCTTTAGCCAGTTCATGAGGTGCGGTAAGACTGGAGAATCCCTGAGCATAGACCCTTTTCATTTGAGGGGGGCCCTGGAGCCCTTGGAATCTGATGAAAGTTATGAAACTGCTCTCCAGAGAATTCACAGCACAAACACACCAGATTCCACATGTAATTTCAGGGAATTCCTGGACTCCTAAGGATCCAAGAACCTCAGTTAAGAACTCTTCACTGAGGGGCGAGGGGTGGAGGGGCGATCATGATTCCAGTGCGGTGTTAGAGAACTCTTTGGCAACAGAATAAAGTGAGGACAGAATAGAGGGAGCCCTCCCCTGCCCCAACAGTTCCATCTTCTGCTCTGTGACTTGTCTCTAGACTGGACCTGAGAGCTACATCAGTGTTCCCAAACTTCCTTTGCTCACTTAGCAAGTCTTGTGCCCCTTCCTTAAGCCCTGGTAATAATGCAGGGTGTATTGCTGGGAGTGGGACCTGAGCTTCAGTGACTCCTCAAGGACAGTAGAGAATAGTAGAATAGAAAATAGCTGAGATGGGCCAGGCACGGTGGCTCACACGTGCAATCCCAGCACTTTGGGAGGCCGAGGCGGGTGGATCACAAGGTCAAGAGATCGAGACCATCCTGGTCAACATGGTGAAACCCCGTCTCTACTAAAAATACAAAAAAATTAGCTGGGCATGGTGGCGCGTGCCTGTAATCCCAGCTACTCAGGAGGCTGAGGCAGGAGAATTGCCTGAACCCAGGAGGCGGAGGTTGCGGTGAGCCGAGATCGCGCCATTGCACTCCAGCCTGGGTAACAGGAGTGAAACTCCGTCTCAAAAAAAAAAAAAAAAAAAAAAAAAATAGTGGATATGTCTTTTGGGAAGGAGGCACTTTAACATACCAGTTCAGTGTCCTGGAGACAGCTGCTTAGGTTCAGATCCTGGTTACATTTTGGGCAAGTAACTTAACTTCTTTAATCCTCCATTTCCTCTTCTACAAATTGAGAATAGTCAGGCGCTGTGGCTCACGCCTATAATCCCAGCACTTTGGGAGGCCGAGGTGGGTGGATTACCTGATGGTGAAACTCCATCTCTACTTAAAAAAAAAAAAAAAAAAAAAAAAACCAAAATTAGCCGGGCATGGTGGCACACACCTGTAGTCCCAGCTATTCGGGAGGGTAAGACAAGAGAATTGCTCGAACCTGGAAGGCGAAGGTTGCAGTGAGCCAAGATCGCGCCACTGCACTCCACCCTAGCACAGATTGAGGCTCTGTCTCAAATAAATAAGTAAATAATTGATAAACTGGGAATAATAATAATAATAATGTATACCTCATAGGAATCTGTGTGGGTTTGGTGGGATAACGAATGGAAAGCACAGTGCAATCAGTGCCTGGCCCCTGGGGAGCATTCAGTAACTGGTGACTGTCGTTAGTAATGTTGTCTCACCTACCTCACTGCTGAACATGGTGCTTTTCTCAGCACTGTGGATCATCCATGTCCGCACAAGAGCTTAGCATCCCACCACCAAACAGAAACAGCATGGTCTGTCTCTTTCACACTCCGTTCTACAGAAGGCCATCTTCAGGGCCCGTGGAACTTATTAGTAAAATGAAGAGAATCATAGTAACTCAAGAGTATTATTGTGAGCATGAGATAAGGTATAATATATGTGAAAGTGTTTTATGAACTGTAAAGTAGTATACAAAAGTAAAGCATTTTTGTCGATATTATTTTTTAACCTTGTATGCTTTTAAGTTTTATTTTGCTGTTTTTTATTTCCCTTTTTTTTTTTTAATGACAGGGTCTCATTCTGTCACCCAGGCTTCAGTGAAGTGGTGTGATCATAGCTCACTGTATCCTCTAGCTCCTGGGCTCAAGCCATCCTCCCGCCTCAGCCTCTCAAGTAGCTGGAACTATAGGCGCTACCACACCCCATTAATTATTATTTTTTCTATTTTAATTTTTTGTAGAGATAGGATCTTGCTTTGTTGCCCAGGCTCATCCCGAACTCCAGAGCTCAAGCAATCCTCCTGCTTTGGCCTGGCGTTACAGGTGCAAGCCACGGTGCCTGGCCTGTATTTCTTTCTTAATGCTTTTTTAAACCTGTTCTTTCCCCTTTTTTAAAACTTCTTTTTATTTGTTTATTTTTTTAAATGGCTGTTTTTCCTAATAGGACATATTCTCACCACCCAGGAATCCTAGCATGTCCATAGATTGAATTGATGAAGGGAGATGGCAGTGTTCCCAGGCCATCTGTGAAGGGTCCGAGTTTTCTGCTTTTATATTTACAGGCCCCTAATTGCTAAGAAGAATCCTAAGATCCCAATGTCTAAGATGATGACCATCCTTGGGGCCAAATGGAGAGAATTCAGCGCGAACAACCCCTTCAAGGGGTCAGCAGCTGCTGTGGCGGCAGCAGCAGCAGCAGCAGCAGCAGCTGTAGCTGAGCAGGTGTCAGCTGCTGTCTCATCGGCCACCCCCATAGCACCCTCCGGACCCCCCGCCCTTCCACCACCCCCTGCTGCTGATATCCAGCCCCCACCCATCCGAAGAGCCAAAACCAAAGAGGGCAAAGGTAGGGAAATCTCTTCCAACAACTGTCATCTCACCTTCCAAACCACATGTCTTCGCATTATAGTCTGGAACTCTTGCCTTCCCAGCCCTGATTGCTGGAGGAGAAATGCTTTCCAGGAAGTGGGGCTTAGTGAAACCATAGCCTACGGAGGAGTCCAGAGGCCTCTGTGACCTCCATGATTCTAGGATGTGTCATGACCTCCACTTTTTCCTCTTCTCACCCCCACTCCTCATTCAGGTCCAGGCCACAAGAGGCGGAGTAAGAGCCCCCGAGTGCCTGATGGACGCAAGAAGCTTCGGGGAAAGAAGATGGCACCACTCAAAATAAAACTAGGACTGCTGGGTGGCAAGAGGAAGAAGGGAGGCTCGGTGAGTGACCTGTCCCCGTCTACTAAACACCTGCGGGCCAAGGATCCAGAGGCAGGGATCTGTGAGGGAAGCCAGAGCAGAGAGCCAAAGGCCTGGGGAGGGTGTGGAATCAAGTCTGCCTCACTGACGGCCACGGGGCTACGGGCAGTATGTTTTTCAGAGTGACGAAGGTCCTGAACCAGAAGCTGAGGAGTCAGACCTGGACAGTGGCAGTGTCCACAGTGCCTCAGGCCGGCCTGATGGCCCTGTCCGCACCAAGAAACTAAAGAGAGGCCGGCCAGGAAGGAAGAAGAAGAAGGGTAAGGAGTGCTGGCTGCATGTGATCCTGTCAGTGAGCCGTTCTCTCATTCCTTTGTTGTCTCTTATTTTCAATTTTGACTTCTTTCTTCAATCCTTCTCCCTCTCTCTCCATCTCCCCCTGCCCCACTTCCTTATCCCTCCACTGGGGTATATGACAGTCCTGGGCTGTCCTGCAGTGGCCGGGGAGGAGGAGGTTGATGGCTACGAGACAGATCACCAGGATTACTGTGAGGTGTGCCAGCAGGGTGGGGAAATTATTCTGTGCGACACCTGCCCTCGTGCCTACCACCTCGTCTGCCTTGATCCTGAACTTGACCGGGCTCCTGAGGGCAAATGGAGCTGCCCTCACTGTGTAAGTACCTAATGCCAGTGTCTGATGACCCTGAGGGACCCGCCCATCTCTTTCCCCCTTGGTTTCACCTACTGTCTTCCTACCCCAGATGGCTGGACTTCTTAGTAACAGCTGTCCAAGCGTCCAGGATCCTAGTGTATTCGTTTCTCCCGCACCTTTGCTCCCAGAATGAACATTTTTGAAACTGGAGTGTCCTTTTCCTTAGTTCCCGGCAGTCTTCTCTGCATTTCCAGCATGCAGGTGTCCTGTCTTTGCCTATATCTTCCAGTTTCACTCCTTAACTTCTTTCATCTGTCTGTGTGTCTGTCCTTGACCCCCTAGGAGAAGGAGGGGGTCCAGTGGGAGGCCAAGGAGGAAGAGGAAGAATACGAAGAGGAGGGAGAGGAGGAAGGGGAGAAGGAGGAGGAGGACGATCACATGGAGTACTGCCGTGTGTGCAAGGATGGCGGGGAGCTCCTGTGCTGTGACGCGTGCATCTCCTCCTACCACATTCATTGTCTAAATCCTCCCCTGCCTGACATTCCCAATGGGGAATGGCTGTGTCCCCGATGCACAGTGAGTGGAACCATCTCCTCTATATATTTACTGTCAGGCCTGACCCTTTCCGCCATCACTGGGGCCCTCATGTTCAGCTTTCCTTTCTCTACACTCCCGAACCCTTGTGGACCCCCTCTCCTCTCATCTAACCGTGGGTTCTTTTGGCCTCTTTCTCCTCCTCCTTGTACGTGTCCATCCTAAAGTGCCCCGTGCTGAAGGGCCGAGTGCAGAAGATCCTGCATTGGCGGTGGGGGGAGCCACCTGTAGCAGTGCCAGCCCCTCAACAGGCAGATGGAAATCCAGATGTCCCACCACCCCGTCCTCTTCAAGGCAGATCGGAGCGAGAGTTCTTTGTCAAGTGGGTAGGACTATCCTACTGGCACTGCTCCTGGGCCAAGGAGCTTCAGGTACTAGGACCTTTTCTTTCCCTCTCGCCCGACCTCATTTCCTGCCATTCTCTCCCTCTCTTACCCCTCTGTTTGCTGGGCTTCTGTACCCTTTGTTTTCTCTCATCTCAGACCTCTGGCCTTTATACCCTACTTGCTTAGTTTCCGTATGTGATTCTTTTGGTCTACAGTCCTCTTGCTCCCAATCCCCATTAGCTCTCTTCCCTTAGATGTAGTATAGCCTTTCTTAACTCTGCGTCCTTCCTTATCTATCTTTGTCCATGTTTTATGCTATTCTTGGCTGGGCGTGGTGGCTCACACCTATAATCCTAGGACTTTGGGAGACCAAGGCAGGAGGATTGCTTGAGACCAGCCTGGGCATCATAGTGAAATCCCATCTCTATTTATTTAAAAATTCTCAACTTTTATAACCCCATTCCGTATCTCCTTTTGCTCGTAACAGCCCCACCCAGGCCTTATCTTCTGAAGCTGTGGCATCTCTTTTCATTTATTTATTCTCCTGTTTTGGCATTTGTCTCTAACCCATCCTTTTTCTTTTTTGAGATAGCGTTTCGATCTTGTTGCCCTGGCTGGAGTGCAATGGCATGATCTCGGCTCACCTCCACCTCCACCTCCTGGGTCCAAGCAATTCTTCTGCCTCAGCCTCCCAAGTGGCTGGGATTACAGGCATGTGCCACCATGCCTGGCTGATTTTGTATTTTTAGTAGAGACGGGGTTTCTCCATGTTGGTCAGGCTGGTCTCGAACTCCCTACTTCACCAACCTCAGGGGATCCGCCTGCCTCGGTCTCCCAAAGTATTGGGATTACAGGTGTGAGTCACTGCACTCAGCCTTTTTTTTGACACAGAATCTTACTCTGTTGCCCAGGCTGGAGTGCAGTGGTGCAATCTCAGCTCACTGCAACCTCTGCCTTCTGGGTTCAAGTGATTCTCCTGCCTCAGCCTCCTGAGTAGCTGGGATTGCAGGCGTGTACCACCACACCTGTCTAATTTTTGTATTTTTAGTAGAGATGGGGTTTCGCCATGTTGGCTAGACTGGTCTTGAACTCCTGACCTCATGTGTTCCACCTGCCTCAGCCTCCCAAAGTGCTGGGATTGCAGGTGTGAGCCATGCGCCCAGCCAATCGATCCTTTTTCATAGTTCCCTTTTCCCATCCCGTTCCTCCTGCTGGCCTCTTCCCCATTCTCTGTTGTCCTCTGTGGATGTTGAGACAATCTCTTCCCCTTTCTTCTGTGCCTCGTCAGCTGGAAATCTTCCATTTGGTAATGTATCGAAACTACCAGCGGAAGAATGACATGGATGAGCCTCCACCCCTGGACTACGGCTCCGGTGAGGATGATGGGAAGAGTGACAAGCGGAAAGTGAAAGATCCGCACTACGCTGAGATGGAGGAGAAGTACTATCGTTTTGGCATCAAGCCAGAGTGGATGACTGTCCACCGTATCATCAACCACAGGTGAATCTTTGGTCCAAGGGAGGTTGGACCTGGTATGTGACACTATTCTTACCATGGTGATGGCCCTATGTTAGTATTTGCTGATTAACCAAATAACGGATCTAACCTTGATAAAACCTCTGCTGTTGCTCCAGCCTTTCTGGCCTTGTTTCCTCCAGGTGAATGGGAGAAAATAGGAGATAAGTCCGGCCAGGCAGTGCCCCATTTGTCCTTTGCCTCCTGTCATCTCCAGTGGCATAAGACATGGCACATGAGTCTGGGGATAGGGGCATGAAAGCAAAACATGCGAAACATGATTCATCCAGACCAGTGTTTTGAATATTTCTTTTTCATAGTACTTACTACTGCCTAAAGTTACGATATTTATTGAGTTACTTCAATGCTGCCTTCCCCACAAGACTCTGAGCTCCATGAGGAAAATACTTAATGATGAGGTGAACAAATGATGTAAGGAGGGATCTCCAGGAATGTTTTGTGCCAGTTGATTTTTAGGATACCATCCTGAAAAGGTTAGGCTGCCACTTCAGCTATTCTAAACTCCCTTCCAGCAGCCCACTGTTGAAGGCTGGGTGACATAGATTCTGCATGTTTGCTGATAATTGCCTATCTCAGGCCTTATTTCTGTTTGTGATCCGTGTTTTTTTTTTTTTTTTTCCCCTCCTGCTCCTCCTCATGGCCTCCTGCCCCACAGTGTGGATAAAAAGGGGAATTACCACTATCTAGTGAAATGGAGGGACTTGCCATATGACCAGTCCACGTGGGAGGAAGATGAAATGAATATCCCTGAATATGAAGAACATAAGCAAAGCTACTGGAGACACCGGTGAGGGAAAGAGCTTATGGATTCGAGGGAGTCTGAGGATGAGGGCATGAAAGCTAAAGCTCCAGCATCAAAGGAGGGTACAGTAGGGACTGATTCAACCTGGAGTTGAGGGCGGTGGCCACCTGGGCTGGGTGGTTTGAGATGGGCTTGGTAAAGAGGTTGTGTAAGGAACAGAAACATGTTCTGGCTGAGTGATGAAGAAGAGGACGCTCGAGAGTAGGAGGGTTGGTTCTTGACGGGAAATCCAAAGGGAGGGCAAAGAGCCTGGGAAAAGGAAATACGGGAAAATGTCTAGGTCATGGACAGTGGGAAGTAGGTCTGGAATGGGTTCAGAAAAGAAAGTGTAGGGGTCCCAAGGACCGGGCCTCACTCAGACTCACTCTTTTTCCAGAGAACTAATTATGGGGGAAGACCCTGCCCAGCCCCGCAAGTATAAGAAGAAGAAGAAGGAGCTACAGGGTGATGGGCCTCCCAGTTCTCCCACTAATGATGTGAGTCCTCTCACTTGGCATTTCTTGTTTCTGGAGCCATGGTGATTGCAGATTTTCCAAGAGCTACTGATGGAACTTCCCAGAGATTCAGTAACCTCTGTAAAAAGTAGCTCTTCCTTCAGCATCCAGTGTTGGCTTCAAGAGTTGCTAAGAATTTGGCCTAAAAGGGCAGGAACCACTAGAGATAGCTCACTGGGGGCCTTTTCACCAGCTGGCCCTTCCCCATGGTGCTGCTGGATATTGTCTTAAGGAATGAGGGAGGGGGCTGAAGACTAGATGTGAGAACTTTCATAAACTCAGATCATAGTAGAGGGAATTGTAATCCAACTTGGTATCAGTGCCAGGGAGGAAGAGACTTAAGACTGGAGGAGCCGCTGACTATTTCCTTGAGCTTTCTGACTTTTTGTCTCTATAGCCCACCGTGAAATATGAGACTCAGCCACGGTTTATCACAGCCACTGGAGGCACCCTGCACATGTATCAGCTAGAAGGGCTCAACTGGCTCCGCTTCTCATGGGCCCAGGGCACCGACACCATTCTGGCTGATGAGATGGGGTTGGGCAAGACCATACAAACCATCGTCTTCCTCTACTCACTCTATAAGGAGGTGCTGGCTTCTCGGCCCTTGAGGGGGACAGCGTGGGCTGGGGAAGTGGGGAGTTGGGGAAATGGAGTGTAGCAGGCAGAGGACTGGGGTATACAGCTTCTAGCCTAGACTTACGGCACCCCCATTCTTGACTCACAGGGCCACACGAAAGGTCCCTTCTTGGTGAGTGCCCCACTCTCGACCATCATTAACTGGGAACGGGAGTTCCAGATGTGGGCACCCAAATTCTATGTGGTGACATACACGGGTGACAAGGACAGCCGGGCCATCATTCGTGAGAATGAATTCTCCTTTGAGGACAATGCCATCAAAGGGGGCAAGAAAGCTTTTAAGATGAAGGTAAGCCCTTCTACTTCACATTCCCTAAGACCTCGCAACTGCCACTTCCTTTCCTCAGCCAGTTCTGTTTCTCTCTTCCCTTCTCTGTTCCTCCACCTGTCCTTATTACATCTCTGCACTACCATCCAAGAGATGTGGCAGGTATTCCCAGGGGCGTACATGGATCTGTCAGTACTGGAATTATGGGCAGAAGTTGGGGACCGTGGTCTGTAATCCCTGCTTAGAGGACAGAGTAATGGCTCCTGTTGGGAGCCACAGTCAGGACAAGGTGTGGTTCTGGAGGTGTTAGGTGTGTGGTTGTCCGGTGGCAGCTGAATAGGCAATATTTATGTTGGCAGAGGGAGGCACAGGTGAAGTTCCATGTTCTCCTGACATCATATGAGCTGATCACCATTGATCAGGCAGCACTTGGTTCCATCCGCTGGGCCTGTCTTGTGGTGGATGAGGCCCATCGACTCAAGAACAACCAGTCCAAGGTGAGTGACTAAGACACTTGACGTTGTGGACTCCCACTTTCCCTGGTCCTAAAAAACAAACAAAGTTTCAGACTACTTTCTGTAGTCTGGAAGGACGTCCAGGTTGGAAGAGGGAAAGGACCAGAGATCTGGGGCCTCTGATCCTGAGGGAAATGGGAGCTGGGGCAGGGAAAGGCCGATGCTGTGGGTCGGTTACTTGCCACTATTAAGCCCATTCTCCTGCCTTGCTTTGCCCCATCTTTTAGTTTTTCAGGGTTCTCAATGGTTACAAGATAGATCATAAGTTGCTGCTGACAGGAACCCCATTGCAGAACAATCTGGAGGAGCTCTTCCATCTCTTGAACTTCCTCACCCCAGAGAGATTTAAGTAAGTGCTTCCCTAAGGGTGGTTGGTAGAGGTAAGAGGTGGAGCAGATAAAGTGAACTGGTAGAGGATTAATCTGAGGTGGCTTGAGCCTGAGATCAGGGCAAAGAACTTGCCAACCTGTTAATTTTCTTGTCTCTTGGTTCTTAGCAACTTGGAGGGCTTCCTGGAGGAGTTTGCTGACATATCCAAAGAGGACCAGATCAAGAAACTGCATGATTTGCTGGGGCCACACATGCTACGGAGGCTCAAGGCAGACGTCTTTAAGAACATGCCAGCCAAGACAGAGCTCATCGTTCGGGTGGAGCTAAGCCCCATGCAGAAGTAAGATGCAAGTCGAGCTCCCTGGAGTAGGGGTTGGGGATTGATGGTAGCTTTCCAAGTGCAATATCGTAATTGCTTCCTTTATTATGTTTCTTTTACACCCCTTTCCTGGCCTTTAGGAAATACTACAAATACATTCTGACTCGAAATTTCGAGGCCTTGAATTCACGAGGTGGTGGGAACCAGGTGTCGCTGCTGAACATCATGATGGATCTTAAGAAGTGCTGCAACCATCCATACCTTTTTCCCGTGGCTGCTATGGTAGATACACAGAGCAGGGAGCTGAAGGACACCTGCTCTCTGGAAACATGGGTGGGGACTAGTTGGGAGGTGGGTATTGAGCCGCAAGGGTGGAGCTGGGCTGGAAGGCCAGGGACTGGGTCTCTGAGTAGAGTAGGAATTGGGAATGTGTGGAAGTTGGATTTGGGCATCTGACTTTCTAGGCATGGAAAGAATATGTGGGCATGTTTCCCAACTGACCTTCTCCTCCTCCTTTCTCCTCCCTTTTCAGGAGTCCCCAAAACTCCCCAGTGGGGCTTATGAGGGTGGGGCACTTATTAAGTCATCTGGGAAGCTCATGCTGCTACAGAAGATGCTTCGAAAGCTGAAGGAGCAAGGACACAGAGTGCTCATCTTCTCGCAGGTGACCTGTGCCCTTAGCTCTCTTTATATCTGCTTTCTCTCCCCTCTCCTCACCCTCCAGACTTTAATTTCTTACCCTTTTCCTGTGGCTGCTCTGGTATGACATGAGGAGATTCTTCCTGTAAGAGTTTCTTGTATAGTTAAGTTTATTCTTGGCCTCTGATGCCTGTTCTTAAGGTTGTTGGAAGTTGAAGTCTGGCTCTAGTTCCATTTCAGCTGCATGGGGGAAGGGTGAGGGTGAGCCATCTGCCTCCTTAGGGCTCGGAATCATTTTTTAATCTTATTGGCAGGTGAGGGTGAAGGGCCACTCCGTACATACAATGACACAATTGTGAATAGATTTTCAGGGGGGTTCCTAGATTTCCCCGAAACCTTTTCATGGGTCTCAGAGAACCTCTGCCTTAGGAGAAACAATCTTAAATCAAGAGAGTGTGATAAGAGGGCCAGACCTGGTGGCCACGCGTATAATCCCAGCACTTTGGGAGGCTGAGGCAGGAGGATCACTTGAGGTCAGGAGTTCAAAACTAGCCTGGCCAACATGATGAAACCCATCTCTTCTAAAAATACTAAAATGAGCCAGGCATGGTGGTGCGCACCTGTAGTCTCAGTTGCTAGGGAGGCTGAGGTGGGAGGATCACTTGAACCTGGGAGTGGACATTTCAGTGAACCGAGGTCATGCCACTGCTGGGAGACAGTGAGACTCCATCTCAAAAAATGTGTGTGTATATATATATATATATATATATATATATATATACACATATGAGAATGTGTCAAGAATGTGTAATAATGAAGCTGTTACGACAGGGCAGGTGTTCAGGTGTAAGGAATGGGGTTGAGTTTGTCTAAAGCAGGTGTCCCCAAACTTTTTACACAGGGGGCCAGTTCACTGTCCCTCAGACCGTTGGAGAGCTGCCACATACTGTGCTCCTCTCACTGACCACCAGTGAAAGAGGTGCCCCTTCCTGAAGTGCAGCGGGGGGCCGGATAAATGGCCTTAGGGGGCCGCATGCGGCCCACGGGCCGTAGTTTGGGGATGCCTGGTCTAATGGAGCAGTTAGAACAAACGAGCCATCCCACCACCTTATTATTCCAGACTCCATCCTTTTCTCTTGCTCTAGATGACCAAAATGTTAGACTTGCTTGAGGACTTCTTAGACTATGAAGGCTATAAGTATGAGCGCATCGATGGTGGCATCACTGGTGCCCTGAGGCAGGAGGCCATCGATCGGTTTAATGGTGAGGGAGATACACTGGTCCCTGGTGGGTGTGGGAGGCCTGAGAAACCTGTGCTAGGTCCCCAGGATGGGAGGGGGACTGGCCTGGGGGACATTGGAAACTTGAGTTGGGGGCATGGTGGTTTGTCGTCAGAGAATGTCTAGGAGCAGGTGGACAGAACTACTGGGTACGAGAAAAACCTGATCCAACTCTCACCTCCTAGCTCCTGGGGCCCAACAATTCTGCTTCCTCCTGTCCACCCGTGCTGGGGGCCTGGGCATCAATCTGGCCACAGCTGACACTGTCATCATCTTTGATTCTGACTGGAACCCCCATAATGACATCCAGGTGGGGAATGGCATCCTGGAGCCCCTGCACCATTTAGCAAGGAGATGTGGGTTCATGGAGTGGGGGTGGCTTGCTCCAGGGTCAGAAATGAACCTCTTCTGGGAGGGGAGAAGACCCTTCTTCACCAGCTTTCTTTCCTGAGCATGTGGGCATCTTCTCCCCAGCCACTCCGCTGGTCCACCCACCAGTTTCTCTTGCCCCTGCAGGCCTTTAGCCGGGCTCATCGGATTGGCCAGGCCAACAAAGTGATGATTTACCGGTTTGTGACTCGTGCGTCCGTGGAAGAGCGGATCACACAAGTGGCCAAGAGAAAGATGATGCTGACACACCTGGTGGTGCGGCCCGGGCTGGGGTCCAAGGCAGGCTCCATGTCCAAGCAGGAGCTGGACGACATTCTTAAATTTGGCACCGAAGAGCTGTTCAAGGATGAAAACGAGGGTGAGAACCTTTTCTGCAGCTCCCTGAAAGCAGGCCCTTGCTCTCTCAGGAGCACTTCTGAGCCCCCTGGGGAGAGAAAAACAACTCTTCTCTGCGGCCTTTGAAGGAAGGAGAGCCTTCTTTTAGCAGCCCTTGGAGGAAGGTTGGCCTCTTTCTTTGCCTGTAGGGTTAGAACAAACAAAACAAAAACCTTTCAACGCTGGCTCCCAGGGAAGGAGCCTTCTCCAAGGGCTCCTGTGAAAAGGATGCAGAGTAGAAGCTTTCCCATCAGCCTTAACTTTGGAACCCAAAGTTCCCTTTTCTTTTCCCTCTCACCAGGAGAGAACAAGGAGGAGGACAGCAGCGTGATTCATTACGACAATGAGGCCATCGCTCGGCTGTTGGACCGGAACCAGGATGCAACTGAGGACACTGATGTGCAGAACATGAATGAGTATCTCAGCTCCTTCAAGGTGGCACAGTACGTCGTGCGGGAAGAAGACAAGGTGAGAGGCTGGGGGGCCAGGCACACTCTATCCCAGGCCATCTCCAAAAGGCAGTATCGTTTACTTGGCCTTGAAGTAGGAGTGTCCCCCCGAGAACAGTAGTGGTCCTGAAACAACAACTTCGTCTAATGAGACTGGACTTCAGAGAGAAACCTAGGCACAGACGGTACTGGTAAACACAGAAGGGTACCTTCTGAGACGGTGCAGGAGAAACACGGTCAGAAGGGATTAGAGGAGAGATTGAGAACACATGACGAGAGGACATTTCAGGTAGGAGATGGCATGGAACATGTGCGATGTCTAGAAAAAGTATGCAGAGTTAAGAAACTCCAGGAGTACCGAGACCGGATTGGGCTGACGCAGCCGAGGAGGGATTTTGTCGCAGCAGCAGGATTAGCAAAGGAGACCCCCAGTGTTCATTCATTCTGCTGCCCTTCAGATTGAGGAAATCGAGCGAGAGATCATCAAGCAGGAGGAGAATGTGGACCCTGACTACTGGGAGAAGCTGCTGAGGCATCACTATGAGCAACAGCAGGAAGACCTGGCCCGGAATCTAGGCAAAGGCAAGCGGGTTCGCAAGCAAGTTAACTATAATGATGCTGCTCAGGAAGACCAAGGTGAGGACTGCCCCAGATGCAGGCAGTGAACAGGGAGGAAGTGATGATGAGTAGGGACTTGAAGGCTGGGGCTCCTTAGAGGGCAAGAGAGAAGCCTAGAAGTTACAGCCTTCCACTGCTAAAAGGGAAATACATAAAGTAGAGTCATTAGGAACTACCCGGAGGCCAGGGGGGTTTGCAGGTGACTGAAACTGTCTGGTGGTTGCACCACCAGGCATCCTGTGGACACCCAGGGCCATTGCTTAGAGTAGGTTCGGCAGGAGAACCAGAGGTGCCCAGAGACTGAAGGTGGGCGATGAATGGAGAAGGTTTAGGATATGTGGCTCCCAAGTCAGACTTTGGGCAGTGTCTGGCATTCCCAGAAGAGCCAAGGCCAGAATAAAGGTAGACAAGTCTCTGCAGGGAGGAATCCAGTCACAAAGGGCCCCAGTGTGGGCATATCCCGAGAACCTTCACTGACCACTGGGCCCTCTCCACCCCGACAGACAACCAGTCAGAATACTCGGTGGGATCAGAGGAGGAGGATGAAGACTTCGATGAACGTCCCGAAGGTGGTATCCGTTTTCCTAACTCTACCTCACCGCTTCCCATTTTATTTTCCAGTTTGCTTTAAGCCCACTGTTTTTATACAAGTAAAAAAAAATGTTTTTGTGTGTGGAAGAACTCAAGATTGCAGAGAAGCAGAAAGGAAGAAATGCTCATAGTCTCTCCGCTAGTAAACTTCAGCATGTGTATCCACACAGGCTAGATCAAGAGAGGTTGTTTCATGTTCCATTCCCACTGATAATCTGGCCTGTGTCAGATATCCGCTATTAATTTTAAAATATGACTGGTCCTTTTAGACTCACTGGGTTAGTAGTTCTGAGCGCTTGGGAGAGAATTGAGAGCACCTCAAACATGACAGGAATGTTCCTGTGTTCTGTCTTGTGGAAATGGGGTGCTAAGGAGCACGGGCTTAGAGGATGGTGGTGGATCCTCTACTGATGTCATCCCCACCCTCAGGGCGTCGACAGTCAAAGAGGCAGCTCCGGAATGAGAAAGATAAGCCACTGCCTCCACTGCTGGCCCGAGTTGGGGGCAACATTGAGGTGAGAGCTGGGCCTAGAGTTCTTGAGTTCTCCAAGGAGGACACGAGGGCCAGGGGGCTGGAAACTGGAGCCTGAGAGTCACCACTGCCCCCTTCCCCCCACCCTCAGGTGCTGGGCTTCAACACCCGTCAGCGGAAGGCTTTCCTCAATGCCGTGATGCGCTGGGGGATGCCACCACAGGATGCCTTCACCACGCAGTGGCTGGTGCGGGACCTGAGGGGCAAGACTGAGAAGGAGTTTAAGTGAGTGTGGGTGATACAGGGCTGAGTTGGATGCAAGGGTAAGAGCTTTGGGTATTACTTTCTTCCTCGTGGCCACCATATGATGTGACCTTACTCAACTGATAATCACCCTCCCTGCCATACAACACTTCCTGGCTCGATTTCCTGGGGGGTGGGCTCAGCCTACTCCACCTCCCCTCAGCCGAGCCTAGAGTAGAGGGGCCAGGCAGCCTCCCCAGGGGAGAGACGTTTGAGCAAGGCGCCTCTCCGTGGCTGTCCCAGCCTCACATTTACTTGGCCACAATAACCTGGCAGGAGGAGCAGGTGGAAAGGATGAAGAGCTGACTGATGGGGCCCGGGACTGAAGTACCAAGGCCAAGGGGAAAGACCAGGGGCGCAGGAGGACAGTTAGGATTTGGAGGGCTGGTAATGGTGAGAGTGAGAAGCCCAGGGGAGGAGCCCTGGAGCACCTGGAGATTTGGGGGTTTGAGGGTTCTCAGTCTTCCCTGCACCTCCCTCATATACCCTATACCTTTTCTTTTGCTCCCCTAACCCTCCTCCCACCCCCATGCTCCTTAGGGCCTATGTATCTTTGTTCATGCGCCATCTATGTGAGCCTGGGGCAGACGGCTCTGAAACCTTTGCTGATGGGGTCCCTCGGGAGGGGCTGAGTCGCCAGCAGGTGTTGACCCGCATTGGAGTCATGTCTCTCGTCAAGAAGAAGGTAGCAGTCTTCCTCTGCCCCAAAGAATCAAGCTGGCTGCTTAGTCTCTGTCCTCCTTCTGCCTCTGTGTCTGAGTTGTAAGCTTGCACTGATGTGAGATGGAGGAGACTGAAGCTTCCTGTGTGTAAGTGCCTGGAGCTGACACACCTGTCCCTCCCCCCCGTCCCACCCCAGGTGCAGGAGTTTGAGCACATCAATGGGCGTTGGTCAATGCCGGAACTGATGCCCGACCCCAGTGCTGACTCTAAGCGTTCCTCCAGAGCCTCCTCTCCTACCAAAACGTCTCCCACCACTCCTGAGGCTTCTGCTACCAACAGTCCCTGCACCTCTAAACCTGGTAATCAGGAGTCAGGATGGTGGGAGAGACAGAAAGGGAGTCAGGAGTCAGGGTGGGAGAACCGCGGCCTTTATCACTGTCCTTTCCCTGCAGCTACTCCAGCTCCAAGTGAGAAAGGAGAAGGCATAAGGATACCTCTTGAGAAGGAGGAAGTTGAAAGCCAAGAGGAAAAGCCAGAGAAGAACAGCAAAATTGGGGAGAAGATGGAGACAGAGGTGTGTGGCTCCCTGGATTCCCCTGCAGAGCAGGAGGGGAGGGGGCTTGGAGGCCAGGTGCCTAGGAGCCCTCTGGCTCACCCTGACCCCATTGTCCTCTCCCAGGCTGATGCCCCCAGCCCAGCCCCATCACTCGGGGAGCGGCTGGAGCCAAGGAAGATTCCTCTAGAGGATGAGGTGCCAGGGGTACCTGGAGAGATGGAGCCTGAACCTGGGTACCGTGGGGACAGAGAGAAGTCAGGTGGGTGCATGGCCTTAGGAGTGATGGGGGATTCGAATTTGGGATTTATTTCCCTCTTCTGGGGTCAGGGGATGAGGGTAACATCGTCCCTTCCTATCCCCTACCCCCTCCCACAGCCACAGAGTCGACGCCAGGAGAAAGGGGGGAGGAGAAGCCGTTGGATGGACAGGAACACAGGGAGAGGCCGGAGGGGGAAACGGGGGATTTGGGCAAGAGAGGTAATGGGTGGAAGGACCAAACACCTGGGTCCCTGAGGGCATCAGGGGAGGTGGAGTCTGGGGAACCGAATGCTGGGGTCCTGGGCGGGTAGCTGTTCAAAAGGCCAGTACAGTACAGTACAGATAGTAGTCTTGGGACCTGGGAGGAGGCCGTCCTGAGCTGTGAGCTTTGCCCTGTCTGTCCTAACAGAAGATGTAAAAGGTGACCGGGAGCTTCGACCAGGGCCTCGAGATGAGCCACGGTCCAATGGGCGACGAGAGGAAAAGACCGAGAAGCCCCGGTTCATGTTCAATATCGCAGATGGTGGCTTCACAGGTTGGGGAGACTCTCGCTGCTTTCTGCTCCTCACGGGGATCTGCTCATCCTCATGGGGTTTCTCGTTTTGCCTGAGGCTTCCTGCTACCTTTAATTCCAAGTAAATTCCAATGAAGTATGTTGCATGCTGACTCCGATCCTTGCTCTAAATCTCTCTTTAAGTATCCCTCCTCACTCCAAAGCTGGCTCTAATCCCACCTTTATTCTTATTTTTAACTTGAACCTGGCTAGTAACTGATTTTGTTCCTAACTCCTAAACTAACCTTTACCCGTTCCTCTTCAGGAGCCCTTAGTTCTCTTCCATTATTCAGTTTCCCCATGTCTACCTGTCTGTTGGACTGAGTGCAGTCTACAAACCCTGTTTCCTCTTCTGCCTGCTGCCTTCTTTTCAGAGCTTCACACACTGTGGCAAAATGAGGAACGGGCAGCTATTTCCTCGGGGAAACTCAATGAGATCTGGCACAGAAGACATGACTATTGGCTTCTGGCTGGGATTGTCCTGTATCCTTTGATATACATGCAAGAAAAAGGTTCTCTCAAGCTGGAAAAAAAAAAAAAAAAGGATGATGATGATGTCACACTCAGGGACAGGGGCTGGTGCCACACTCTGGGGAGTCAGGTGGAAAGGAAGAAGTGTTCAAAGCTAAGCCCATTCCTGTTAAATTCCTTGATGGTTCCCTTTCCTTCCTTGGTAGCCATGGCTACGCACGGTGGCAGGACATCCAGAATGATGCTCAATTTGCCATTATCAATGAGCCATTTAAAACTGAAGCCAATAAGGGGAACTTTCTGGAGATGAAAAATAAGTTCCTGGCCCGGAGGTTCAAGGTGGGAATGAGGGAGGAAAGGAACGGGTTATAGAGGGGCTTGGGTCAGAAGTGAGATCAGATCTAGCTGGAACTTAGGGAAGGTTAACACCTTCAGGGCTGAGGTGATGCTTGGGGCAAGACCAAAGTGTAACTTTGTGCTTGGGAGTGTGGTCTGGGTCAGGGTGGATGCTAGGTTTGCAGCTGGGAATGCTCTGGGCCGGCAGTGAGGGCCGGGTGGGTCTCCTGCTGTGTCCGGTCCCCCCCATCCCCCACTCACCCACTACTGGCAGAACCCTGGTGTCACCTCCCAACCCTGTGCCCTCAGCTCCTGGAGCAGGCGCTGGTGATTGAGGAGCAGCTGCGGCGGGCGGCCTACCTGAACCTGTCGCAGGAGCCGGCGCACCCCGCCATGGCCCTCCACGCCCGCTTCGCCGAGGCCGAGTGCCTGGCCGAGAGCCACCAGCACCTCTCCAAGGAGTCGCTGGCGGGGAACAAGCCGGCCAACGCCGTCCTGCACAAGGGTAAGGGCCGCGGCGGCCCCGCGCGGGGGAGGGCCCACAACGCTGCGTAAGTCTTCACCCCGCACCCCTCAAAATCTTCCCAACCCTCTGACCCCTCTGCCCTCTGAACCACCCCCCTCTGACCTCTAACCCCACCCCTGCCCACCTGGCACCGCCTTGGATTTTAGCCTCTAGGACTTGTGCAAGCCAGCCCTCATCCATGCCTGATACCATTCACATCTGTGCCCCATAGAGGGACCTGCCCCAAACTCCATGTCCCCTCCACACAATGGAGCCTCTTCACTGGCGGTGGAACCGCATGCCTGCCATACGGCTAACATCATCCAGTTAGGGGCCTTGGCCTGTGTATGCACCATACAAATCCTTGGTTCTGATCAAACAAATCACATTCCCTCACATCTCTTTCACCCCATGTGGCAGACACTACCACCCATCTGACCCTATCCCACGACGCTTCCCTTTGACCTTCGACCTTCGACCTTTCCTCCTACCCGCTCTTACCCTGCCAGTGATAGAGATTATGTCCCAAAGCCCTCTAACCATCTAATCCTGTGTGATGTAGTGACTGACTCCTGGCCCCTTTGATCCCTGTTCTAATTCCTCGAATCTGTAATACTGACCTTCTGACCTCCGTCTCCCCTTACATATGAAAACCTTGATTCCTTAAAGCTCTGACACCACTCACCACCTCCCGTGCCTCCTGACTGTTTCCTCCCCATCATCCCCAACCCCAAACCTTGCTCTTCCAGTATGAGATGTTCTGACAACTCCCCGCCCCCATGTCTTCCGATACCCCCCCCATCCTCCTTTTCTCCATACTCCCTTTTTCCTTCTTCTTTCTTTCCATTGGTCTTCTGTGGTCATCTGTTCTCTCTGTCTCTCTTCCTGATGCTTGGTCTTCTCCCCTGAGTTGCTTCTGTTTTCTGTCTACTTGTTTTACTTCCTTGATTTCTGGTTCTTTGACATCCGTATCCTCCTCTCTCGCTCTTTTTCTGCCTGTATCTGTCCATCTGATGCCTCTTTTCCTGGCTCCATCTCTCTATTTCCCTGTCTTTCTCTTCCCCTTCTTTCTCTGTGGCCCGGGCCCCAGTTCTGAACCAGCTGGAGGAGTTGCTGAGCGACATGAAGGCGGACGTGACCCGCCTGCCAGCCACACTGTCGCGAATACCCCCCATCGCAGCCCGCCTTCAGATGTCCGAGCGCAGCATCCTCAGCCGGCTGGCCAGCAAGGGCACGGAGCCTCACCCCACACCGGTAACCCTCTTTTCCCCCTAACTCCGGTTTTCCCTGTTTGTGTTCCTCCTGCACACATAGAAACACTTCCATCAGAATCCTATACAATATGGAGAAACAACTTGCTAGAACACAGTCATCACCCTTGAGTGAGCCTCCCTGTGTGTCCTACCCTCAGTAGTTGTAGAGTGTGCTTGATAATGTCTCTCCTGCGGTTTCTTTCCTCTCACCAACTATGAACTAACTCCAACTTCTGCTTACTCTGTTCCAGGCCTTCCCCCCGGGTCCCTACGCTACACCTCCGGGGTACGGGGCGGCCTTCAGCGCCGCACCCGTAGGGGCCTTGGCCGCCGCAGGCGCCAATTACAGCCAGATGCCAGCAGGGTCCTTCATCACAGGTCAGCTGGTGTTTTCCTACTTCCTGCTACTCACACTCCTCCCTTGCCACATTTTATCTCTGCTCAGCTGCCCTTTAACTGCTGTAGCCCCTCTCATTTCCTTAGTGGTGTCTCGTGTTTTATGGGATAGGGTTGTTCTAGGCTGTCCCTCCCAGCCCTTTCTTAACCCCTCTTCCATCCCCTTTATCAAAAACCAGAGCTGTAGTAGTTCTGTGGCTTGGTGTCTTCTACCCGGGCCACCTCCTTCCTGGTTCCTTCAAGGGAAAGTGAGTAGGGAACCCGAGGGGGTATAGTGAGAGTGGGAACATGTGTTCAATCATGTGGCACAGAGTGGAATCTCAGGGAAAGGGGTTTGCCCTGGTCTTCCCACCTTTACCTGGGGCAACTGGAAGTGGCAGGAAGTGACCTAGAAGTGAGACTATACCCTTGTCATGAAGTGACATTTGAGAGTGATGTGGGGATTGAACTTTCCTTACCCCCTTCCCAAACAGCCGCCACCAACGGCCCTCCAGTGCTGGTGAAGAAGGAGAAGGAAATGGTGGGGGCATTGGTGTCAGACGGGCTGGATCGGAAGGAGCCCCGAGCCGGGGAGGTGATCTGTATAGACGACTGACTGGATCCCAGGCCTGCCCTTCACCCAGGCCCCGTCCCCGAGGCCGACCCCCAGCTCAAGCACTGGGGCCTGCTGCCAACCCTCCGCCTTCCCCACCCCTTGGGCCATCACTGGGCTAGGAACCCCTTTGTCCTTCTCTGCAGCTCCTCTCTTCAAGAAGGGCCCTTTGTCTTTCTCCACTCCCACGCACCTTTCCCACCAAGCCTTGAAGACTGTGCTGGTGAGAAGGGGTCTGGGTGGGAGATGGTTTGCAGGGTCTTCCAAGTACCTTCATCCCCCACTGCCAAGTATACACAACTTCCCAGTAAATGGTTGTGGGGAGGAAAGAGGTGGAGCCTCCCCAGTCGTTTCCCTGCAGTATCAGCTCCATCTCTTACAGAAGTGGAGGATTAGCCTTGCCTGGCCTCTAGGAACTTTTGTGGGGAAGACAGCTTTGAAGAGAGGAGGGGGACTTTTAGAGAGGGATGAAAATGAGCCCTGGGAGGGAGGAAGGGAAGAGGAGGGGTGGCTGCATGTTACCTTCCCTACCTCTCCCCACATGGAGGGTGGAGCAGTTATGAGGGAGGAAGTCAATTGCTGTTCAGCCTCAGAATAAAGGCGCCGTTCACTGGCTCAGTTACCTCCTGTGTACCGGCATCTTGTGTTGGGAATCCCCCTCTCTAGGGACCAAGGACCACCCCTACAAAAAGAGTAATGGTTGGGTGATAACTCCCTCAAGCCAAAGAGGAGCTCCCCAACCTGTTCTAGGGACCCAGGTAACCTAGAAGGGTGGGAGAGAATACAGTGGGCCAGACATGGGGGAAGCCCCCAGCTCTGGGGCTCAGGTTCCTCGAAGACTTTACTACCCTCCCTCCTCAAGGCCTAGATACAGACTACATTTGCTAAGTCAGGCAGGGGACCTAGTCAGAGTCTTGGGACCGACCTTGTCGTTGGGACCAGAGCAAAATAGTGGAGGGCAGGCTAGGGAAATGTGGGCACATCCCCCCTCCCAGGAGGGGCTGGGGAGAGTGGCAGTTTGCATGGCGAACCCCCCACTTCCTCTTTGCTGCCCCTTCACCTTCTTGCCACCCCTTTCCCAGTATCTCTTCACACCCACTCCTGGTCTGTCCTGATCCCCTCTTCTGTATCAGGTTTATTGGTTGTACATATAAATTATACTTTCCTTTCTGTGTGCTCTGTTATTTTTTATGGAGTGGGGGGAGGGATAAGAAATGCTGCTTTCTGCCTTTTCTTTTTTTAAAAAAAATTTAGGGCTTTTTTCTTTTTCTCATTTTTATCCCTTGGATCATTCACTAAAACTGAGGTTCTTCCAGCTCCAACTATGTGCTAGGCTCAGTGTAGAGAAGGAGGGTGAGCATCAGATACCTACGTGGCCTCAGGCGGACTTCAGAGAGAGTGGGACTTACTGGACAAGCGTAGTGGGAGGAGTGCCTAGCAAGATTCGAAACTGCCTTCCAGCCATCCTGATCAGCCTTTCCACCTTCAAGTTGCTTAGTTCCCCTAAGAGTCAGTAGAGGTCACTACAGCTCCACAGGTTCAGTTCCAGTATGAAGCAAAGGCACACTTTTTTTTTTCTTTTTTTTTTTTTAAAGGAGGGTCAGATCTGTGTAGCTTACGGAAGATTTGAACTGCTAAGCACCTCCTGTATGTTTATTGTTCATTAAACAGAGCCTCTCAGAGATTGAGAGAGGACAGATACTTAGTTCACAAGGCGACTGTATTAAAAAATGAGATAAAAACCAAACAAATATTTATTGAGTACATACTATACATTAACACTGCTGTTGGCCCTGGAGATAAAACAGTCACAAGTCAGCCCTTGCTCCAATGGGGCTTACACTCCAGTGGGGATACCCACAAAGCATGAAAATAAAAGCAGTAAAAATAAAACAGCATTATGTTACTGAGGGGTGGGGTAAAAGGGTCTACTACGTTGAAGGCAGAAAAAGACCTCTCAGAGGAGGGAGCATTAAGCTGAGACATAAGAACAGGAAAATGCCAAAACAAGGGTTACAAAAATTGAGGTTTATACCCCGTAAATATATACAAGTATCATTTGTCAATAAAAAACAGTATTTATATTTTTTAAAGTTTGGAGACCCCTAAAAAAATTGAAGTTAACAATAAGTTCACACTTTTGACTAAAAAATGTAACACAGTAGGTTAGGATTTCTTCGGCAAGAGAATGTTACTTCACAACTTCAGATAAAATTATCAATCATAGCTATTATGCTTTAAATATTCTATCTACAGATGGTGATATCCTAAAGAGTCTAGGATCTAGACCAATGGTACTTAAATTTTCACATGCACACAAATCACCTGGGATTTTTAAAATGCGAGTCTGGCAGGGCTCGGTGGCTCATTCCTATAATCCCAGCACTTTGGGAGGCCTAGGTGGGTGGTTCACCTGAGGTCAGGAGTTTGAGACCAGCCTGGCTAACATATCGAAAACCCCATCTCTGCTAAAAATACAAAAATTAGCCAGGTGTGGTGACAGACACCTGTAATCCCAGCCACTTGGGAGGCTGAGGCAGGAGAGTCGCTTGAACCTGGGAGGCAGAGGCTGCCGTGAGCCTGGGGCGACAAAGCGAGGCTCTGTCTCAAAAAAAAAAAAAAAAAAAAACCTCTGCCAGAGTCTGATTCAGGAAGTCTGGAGTGGGATCCTGGAGTGAGACTGTGCATTTCCATCAACAGTACACCACACCAACACTGCTGGTCTTTGACTGTGACTACATGGTGATAAGATACAGGATTTTAAAATAGAATTTATGGCATATATACAATAGGTGATGTCCCATTATGGGATACAAGCTTAAAATTGTAAAAATATCTTTTCAATAGCGCCATTGTTTCCCTGTGACTGTAAAGATAACACAGATAATAGGAAAAGTTTGAAATATGATGCCTTTCCCAAATGGCTCTCCCTTCCTACGTTGATAGGCTCTAATTACGTACCTTACATAAATGCCCTTTGGAATTTCTGATACCTGCCCTAGCAGGTTGAAGGGAGATTCAAAAATGAAGTAAGGCTCCTAGTCATAGTCATAGGCAGGGAGCCATCTCAATTTTTGGAGCACAGAACTGGGAGTGCAGAGACAGCAGGCATACCAGCACCCTTACATGCCAGAGAAGTGAGATTAACATGACGCGAAAATTAGCCTCTTCTCTCCCATTCCCGTTCCATCTTAAAAAAAAAAAAAAAAAATCAAACCATTGACAAAGAATTGCTAAAATGGGACCTGTTGCTCCCACACACCAGAGCCACCCTGGACAAAAGCCAGAGTCCCAGCTAAGAAAACAGTCTGCCTTCTTCCCACGGTAACGTAGGCTTTGTTTATATCATTCCTTGGCCACTCCATCCTGGAAATTTAAGACTGGCACAGTCAGTAGATGGGGGCGAGTTCGTCTAGGAGCCTCCCCAACTCAGCGTCAACACCTCCCAGGGCGTTCCCTCCTGCCCTCGACTCATCTCTCTCATCACGTGCCAATCCTGGGATCTGAGAGAGGGTAGTCTTGGCATCAACCCCGCAAGGCTGCAGCTCCCACCTGTAGCTTCCTTCTGCTGTAGCTGCCGAGTTCCTCGATTACAACGTGCAACTGGTCAGGTGGGCAATGTCTTTGATCTCCGGACAGTAGAGCACTGGGGAAAAGAAGAAGGGTTAGTGGCAGCAGAGCAAGCCGACGAACCCCGGCGTTCCTCGGCGCTCTCTGCCCTGCATCCTCCCCTGGCAGCCCCTCACCGTTGCTAGGCAGCGGACGCCGCCAGCGGCGCGCGGGCGCCAGGACCCTGTCCCAGAGCCTCCGGAGCGCGCGCCACCCAGCGCTCCTAGGCCCCGCCCCCTTCTCGCTCTGCCTTTCCGCCTCCGCCTCTCCTTCAGCGTCGCCGCTTTCCTTGGCCGGGTTCCCCGCCTCATCTCGTTCGCACTCGGCCCGCGCTTTTTTCTCCAATCGCGACCACAAGTCCGAGTCGAGGGCGATCTCCGTGACGCCGCCGCGCGGGAGCGGCGAGGGCGCGCGGCAGAAGGGGCACGTGACCACGCGGCGCAGGCGCACCACGCGCGCGGCAGCCCCGCCGCCGTCCCCGCGCGCCGCCAGCTCGCGGAGGCAGGCAGTGCAGAGCGTGTGGCCGCAGCGGGCACGCGCCGTCCCGGGCAGGCGGCGGGGCGCGCGGACCCCGAGGTTGAAAGGGCGGTAGCATATGTTGCAGTCCAGCTCGCCCCGCTCCGGAAGAGAGGGCACCCTCACCAAGAGCTGCATCGTGCCCGCCGCGGATTCGAGGACGTCGCTAACGCTGCCGGCTCCGTGGACAAAACGAGCAGACCCTTCTGGGGCCGGCGCCGCGGCCTCTTTCCCCTTTTAATAGGGGAATAAGTGAGGCTCCACCCCGCGAAGCGTCACGCCTTGATCGGGCCGCGCCCCGTGGTGGCACGTGTTGGGGCGGTGGAGGTGTGAGGCCAGGAATGACAGCGATGGTGGAGTGGGGGAGGCGGTCCAGACCATGCCACGACCAGAGCCCTGGGGTCCAAAGCACCCATTCCTCCCTTCCTGTCCACTCCCAGGGAGTGGGGTGGAGCTTTCCTTCTCTCCCCAAAGCAATGCCAGCACTCCTTAATTCTACTGTGTGCAGACCCCTGGATCCCTTTCTGTTCCTGAGCCTTCTGTAATTGGCTAAGGTTTCTAAAGACCCCTTGGCCTATTCAGTGGCTCACAGGGAGTTTCACAATCCCACCCAGTTTTCTGACACTGCCCATTCTGCCCAACCGTTAGTGGTCCCCTGGGCCTTTGAATCGATTTCGCCCTCAGTTCTCATTAAACATGAGCTCTCTGTGTTGCCTGTAAGGCTGGCTTCCTAAATTTCATGCTCCCCAAACTGCTCAACCGTCACTGATAGCTCAGCCTAAGGAGGGACCTAGATTCCAGGACTACGGCTTTAGGAATGCTGGGAATCCTTTCCTTCCGGAGGCCTGGACACCCACACATCGTGATGGCCCCAGCAAAGCACCCCAGCAGGAGCTCTGACTCAGGGGTCTGACTTCTCCCCCTGGTAAACAGGACATGGCACTCACAACCCACATTCCCCTCATGGTGCCACACCCATACACAGCTGCCTCCTCAACCTCCTCTCCTGAACCTGAAGCCCAGGTTCCGTTGTGGAGGGTAATACAGTCTAGAGCCAGATGGCTTCAGTTCAAATCCTAGCTTCCACCTCTTTCTAGCTGTGACACTTTGAGCAAGTTACTTAATTTCTCTGGGCCTTGGTTTCCTAAGTTATAAAATGTGGATAATAATAGTGAGGACTGAATGAGCTTATATGAGTAAGGTGATTCAAATGGTGTCCAGTACACAGTAAGCACCAGGTAAGTGCTGTATTAGCTACTATTATTATCCTGTGCCACCAGCCACTATTGTATTTGCTTTAACTTCTCAGTATCCAACATGTTCAACACCCATCCTTCTTGACCAATATGTACAAGATGGGCTTCTCTACACCCATGGCATTTATTAGCTATCACAGGCAATGCAGAGCTGGCTTTTTAACCTAAATTGTTAAAACCTAGTAGGTAATCTCTTTTGAGGAGGTATACCATTATTATTTTATTATTATTGTTGAGACGGAGCCTCGCTCTGTTGTCCAGGCTGGAGTGCAGTGGTGCAATCTTGGCTCACTGCAACCTCTGCCTCCTGGGTTCAAGTGATTGTCCTGTCTCAGCCTCCTGAGTAGCTGGGATTACAGGCACACGCCGCCATGCCTGGCTAAATTTTTTGTATTTTAGTAGAGACGAGGTTTCACCATGTTCCCCAGGCTGGTCTTGAGCTCCTGAGCTTAGGCAGTCTGCCCGCCTCGGCCTCCCAAAGTGCAGGGATTACAGGTGTGAGCCACCTCACCCAGCCCCATTATTTTTAAGCAAACATTTCAGAACTTTTGAATGGTATTCTCTGTGATCATGGGAGAAGCTGTCTACTTATTACAGTGATGCTCTCACAATTCAAAACTTTTCTGTCTTAAAAGGACTGGTAGAGTTGGGCACAGTGGCTCTTGCCTGTAATCCCAGCATTTTGGGAGGCTGAGGCAGGGGGATAACTTGAGATCAAGAGTTCAAGAGCAGCCTGGCCAACATGGTGAAACCCTGTCTCTATTAAAAATACAAAAAATTAGCTGGGCA